AGAGAGACTTTTTAATTCTTGGACATAAAGATTCAAAGTTTTTTTTTACTGGTCCTGAGTAACAATACAATATACATGTTGAGAATGAACATATAAGCTGAAAGGCTAACAAACTCCTTTTTAATCTCGGGAATAAGATGTTGTCAAAGAATTAATGAACAAAAACACAATGTTACGTAAAAATACATGCTCATGCGCCTCCACAGTGGGAACAGTTTGGTGGGGGGGAGGGTGAGGAGGGAGGAGGGAGAGAAGTGAGGGAGAGGAGTGAGGGAGAGGATTGAAGCGAGATAATCGTAATTAAGTATTAATCTCGACAAGCTCTGATAACTGAGGCCAGCCAACACCTGTATGTTCCACCTTCACGACCTCTCTCTGGCCTGTCGTAAGTACACATCGGGTCCAGGTGTGTCTGTGTGTAACATCACCAGGTACACAGATCCACCCAATTATGTAAACAAACAGTATTAAGAGATACCATTATGGATCTCAGTATAATTAGCATATTCAAGTAAAGGCAAATTATCAATACCGTAAGAGAATAACCTATTATAATTTTATTTATTATATACCAAAAATAAATATTATAGATAACATATGTTTATATATATATATATATATGTATATGGAATGATAAAGAGTTTTGATGTAAATTTGCGAATAGTAATAAGTGATATAATCTGATGATGAAAGAGTTACATACTGTATTATGAAATCAATGACTTTATTTACCTAACCTTATAAAGTATGAAAGTAACACAATATAATAATAGTTCATCACGATCTCAGAGTTTGCTGAGTTGAATTATTATCGTCTCCCTCTCTCGCCCTGATCATCACTATCCTCACCATCTCTCTTTACCACTTGGATCTTCTTAGCTCTCCTGTATAGTGACGCTGAGGTACACTAATCACCATCACCTTCTCGCCATCCCTGACAGTGTTACAGCTTGCCACCATTTTTTTATTTATTTTTTAGTGAGTCTGGTTTATACAGTAGAGTACTATTTCACTGCTGTTTGAGAGTTATGTAACCTCTTGAGTACTGTGACTTAACCCCTTGAGTACTGTGACTTAACCTCTTGAGCACTGTAATTAACCTTGTACCGTTATCCTCCCAGAGCTTGAGGGATTAAAAAACATAAATACATTTCTGACATTATATTTTTACCATGATATCAGGAAGGAACATTTACATGAGTAAGTCGTAAAGTGTTAACTAAATATTAACCAGCCTCCTGAGGAAAGTTTATGTTCGACCTCTAACCTGTAGCCTCGATGTTAAAACCTCCTCATATACAAAAGGTTTATAAACCCTGGTCTTCAATGGTGTTTTAGTTTAAGGTTTAGATTATTGTAAACACGAACTAACTAAACAAAACTAAAAAAAATAAGGATTTACCCAAAAACAACTTCGAGAGAAAACGTGCAGCAACTCACTAATTACAGGTAGTTGTCTTGAAAATGTGGATGGAAGTTATAATGAGTAAGACCACAGTAAATGAGGAAGAAGAAGAAGAATAACGATGATGTAAGAACTGAGGAAACTTCAAGAGAGAGAGAGAGAGTGAGATATGAGGATCATGTTTTAGTTGACACCGAAGAAGAAAATGCCCACCAACACTTGATATAAACAAACATAATAAAGATGAACCACAGTGAACGAGGATAAAGATGGGAATAACAACAGGTGATAAACAGAGTGCAAAAGAACATGAAGGATAATGACATTAAATGATGATGATGATGATGATGATGATGATGATGATTGATGATGATGAATAAGAACTGATGATGACTGCGATAGTGGTGATGGTGATAATGTGTGGAGATTGTGGTAGTGATAGTGAGAGTGAGTAAGGATGGTGGTAGTGGTGGTGAAAGTGAGTAAGGATGGTGGTAGTGGTGGTGAGAGTGAGTAAGGATGGTGGCAGTGGTGATGAGAGTGAGTAAGGATGGTGGTAGTGGTGGTGAAAGTGAGTAAGGATGGTGGTAGTGGTGGTGAAAGTGAGTAAGGATGGTGGTAGTGGTGATGAGAGTGAATAAGGATGGTGGTAGTGGTGGTAAAAGTGAGTAAGGATGGTGGTAGGTGGTGGAGAGTGAGTAAGGATGGTGGTAGTGGTGGTGAAAGTGAGTAAGGATGGTGACAGTGGTGGTGAAAGGATGGACAAAAAGCGGATGGTGAGGTGAGGTCAGGGATAATGACATCACGTTCTTTACTGATAGTGACACCTCTGTCAAATGGTTCAACACACCGTCACTATACACAACTCATTATCCATTTAGCGTGAGCAGATGAACTAAGTCACATAGCGGTTCCTTAATGATAACTACTAACACTTCCCATGCCATTCGCTAGTAATTGACCCATTTATGAGTGAACCAGCAACTAGTTTAGTGTAAAGGGGTTATAATTATTGTCCACTGGGTAAATTGCGACGGGCGACCTGTACTGCCTCTCATCACCACGCCACACACAACAGGTAAAGCCACTAGAGAGATGTGTGGTGTTGTCCTCCACACCTTAGCTCGTTGGTCTTACCCTTGTGTTCTCTAGTCTAGCGTTTGAAGTCACCGTAGAGGTTTATCGTGGCTGTTTGAGGTTACATCGTGACTACAAGCTATACCACTATAATATAAAGTTACTGTGTTTATGACATATTGATCAGCTATATAACGTATATTAAGCTATTGAATCAAAGGGGGGAAAACCAAAAGCTCTGGGCACCCGATGACGTGACACAAGTTTGTACCTGTGAGGCGTGAGGTAAGATTCAGGCCCTGGACAGAGTGCAACACAAACTTTACCTTGACAACTTCGCATAACTTTGAGCAATTTCATGATTATGTTCACCTTCCCAGTATGTACTGATATATATATATATATATATATATATATATATATATATATATATATATATATATATATATATATATATATATACATATATATATTTTAGTTACAATTGTTATTGAGCTCAGAATTTTTATACTCTATTCATTGTTTTTATGCTCGTTGATAAGATGATTGTTGGGTTGGTTGGAAGGTTTCATCACTCCTCCTCATCATTATTCATCATCATAATTCTTCATCATCATCATCACCACTGACTGCCACTAGTGGACCCATCTGTGTAAGTCAGCTCGAGCACCAACAGCCTCACTCACTATACACTGCTCTCATGTCTAAATGTTTTCACATCATAGTCTGGGTGGGCGTGAATGTGGGCGTGGGGATCGAGGAGGGCGAGAAGAGGAGGGCACGTCTCCGGCGCCCATGAAGTGTGCGGGCGTGGTGTAGGCTGCACCCGAGACTGGCGGCGGTGGGTAGTGGGCGGTCGCTAACTGCTCCAGTGGGGGGCGGCGCTCCCATCATCTGAGACACACACAGTACATGTTACTCCCTGGCTCTGCTGAGTCTAGGAAGGTGTAATGAGGGGAGGGCACCTGTCATTGTAAACTGCGCTCGGGGAATAGTATTTGGACGTAATAATGATGATGCATTTCTATGGTGACAATGATAGTTGCATGGGCCCAGGGGAGTGAAGTGGAGAGGGGGGTTCATGGGGAGGTGAAGTGGGGGGACTGAATGATGGGGGGATGAAGCGAGAGGGTCATGAGGTGGTGCAGGAAGGGGTCATGAAGGGGGCGCTTCCATGATTTGCGACAGACACATTGAACGTTTGTTGCTGTTAATGGTTGTTGACACTGCAGCTGACAGTGGCGGCTACTTACTGTACTAACACTTGTTGACTGTTAGTATTATAAATGAGACGGGAAGAATGACATTGCCATCTCTTAACGAACACCACCCTTAGCATTACTAGCGTGAAGAGCAAACTATAGAATGAATTGTGTTATTTAGGTTGCCTCCGGGGTTAAAAAGATATATTACTGAGTGTAGTTGAGACATAGAAGCCACGAAGAGGAGGAGGAGTTGGGAGACGAGGAGGAGGATGGGGGTGACGAGGAGGAGGATGGGGTGAAGGAGGAGATGAGAAGGTGGATCAGGGGAGAGGAGGAGAGGGGACACGGAAGAAGGAGGGAATGCGAAGAGAAAGGAGGAGGAACACGAAGAGGAGAGGAGGGGGATTGAGAGACGAATTGAGAGGTTCAAGTGTTTCTGTGGAGGTCCGTCCTGTGTAGCCCATGTTTACCAAAATAGGAGGCAATATTAAGAAGAAATAGCAGTGTGTGTGTGTGTGTGTGTGTGTGTGTGTGTGTGTGTGTGTGTGTGTGTGTGTGTGTGTGTGTTGAATAGAGACATCTAGATTTTTTAACATACAGGAGTGAGATGTTCAGTAAAATTAGAAAATAAAATTGCGGAAGAAATTTAGAATAAACTTCAAGCACAATCCTAACATGCGGACGAATATATGAACAGAATAATGAAGGTATATATGAGTGAGATTAAACCCTTGAGTACGACGACTTAACCATCTGAGTACAACTGAGTACACTCTCAACTTAATGTAGCAGACTAAAGTTATTATATTACAGTACAAAGGATTAAGACATCGCACCCAATGGCTTAAGTCATTGTTATTATCACTGCTGAAGGGGTTAAAAAGTCTTACTCAATGGGCTATTTTGTCATACACAGGGGATTGGCATCAGACTCAAAGGGACTGACTGGCATTGTACTCAAGGAAATAGCAACGTACTCAAGGGGATTTCCATGGGTACTCAAAGGGATTACTGGAATTAGGGAACGAGGAACACTGAGAGCAAATTTGGCAGGCAGGGGATTGATGATACATGTATGAGGTAGGATGGTGAACAGTAGAGGGAGGCTGATGCAACTCTATCACCCTAGGGAAGAAGGTGCTCATAGGTCGATAAATATACACAAAAATAAATAAAAATACTTGGAATATGGAGACTTTAGATGCTCCGGTAAATAAACTACAAAATTCATAAAGAAAATAATTAATGTTTGTAGGTTGAGGTACATTACCGTATTTAGTAATTAATTAGAGGTGAGGAGGTGACTTACTGACCTCGCAGGTATGGTGAGTGAAGGAGGCGAGAGAGGTGGGTGGTGGCGGCGGTGGTGGTTGGTGATGGTGGTGATGGTGATGGTGGCGATGGTGGTGATGTAACTGGTGTTGGTAATAAGCGTCCCAGTCTTGTTGTTGATGGCAGCTGGTTACTACACCGCTGCCCACAGATGGTACCACCACCGCCGCTGTAGGCACACCTATGGTTGGTGCTAAAGAGGTTAGCTGGTGACATGACGGTACCCCTCCAACCACCTGACAGCTGGGAACTCGTAACTCCTCCAACTGGTAGTCACACTCTGCAACAAACAACACAATACTATCACCATCTTAAACCAACATTAAGAAACATTCCCTCTCTATTAATAAAACGTACTATAACAATACTCAAAATTATAGTCTTACTGAAAAAATACTCATAATACCTAATAAAAATATAACTAATAAGGCACAATACATTCTGACATATATAAAGTGAAGATGATATTAGATACATTTTACTTCGAAGGTGAAAAGGGTGAATAACGTAGACAGTAGAAACACATATACGATGAAGACAAGGTTAAGCAGCAAGAGAAGAGAGAAAATAATGATCATAAGAAACACCAAGAGAGACAGTAGTAAAGGAATGATAAGTGAAGAGAGAAAACAAGAGAGAGAAAGAGGAGGAAAGAATGATAAAAAAGAACAAGACATCGAAAGAATGAAGTAAATCAGTCACGATTGTCTTACCTTCTTTGAGTGGGATTAGGTCTGGGTTGCGGTCCTCAGAATTGGGTGACGGTCTACTAAAGGTGCTGACGGTCTCTTTAGGTGAGGTATCGGAGACCAGAGAGCCATGGGCGTAAGCAGGGACCTCAGGCTGGGGTCTTCTCCTAGGGCAGTGTTTGATAGCGAGACCCAATATAATAACTAAAGTGATGACGATGGCTACTGATGCTCCAGCCACCACAGCTATCAAGGGCGACACACCGAGTACCTCCTCCACTGGTTCACTGATGCCTACAGGGACAAGAGGGGCAGTGATCAATTGCCACCAGGAACCATGATGCAGCAGCTGACACGTGTACAGCGAGTCTGATTATTTCTACGATGATGAGTAAACTGGGTAGTGTGTTTTTATTTATGTGGTATCCAATGCCCCTCTTCTACTTACAGCTTTTAAGATGTGAAATATATGTCTTGAGAAGTATTTTAACCAGAATCATGACGAAAACAAGATAAACAGAAGGTGACACTGAGAACATAGCTCAGGTTTGTATATCAACACACAGGTAGTTAACAGGTGGCAATCACAGTTTTACACCTGAATCATATATAATGGGGAGGAGAGGAAGGGAGAGGAGGGAGGAAGGGAGCAGGGGGGGGAGAGAGGAGGGGAGGAAGGGGAATCTCTTACCCATTCTCTTCTCAGCAGTCTTGACAGTGAAGGCATCCAGTTTGATGGGCGATGAGGCTCCCATAGGACTGTGGACGGCCACATGGAGGGTATAGGCAGTACCCGGGTCCAGTCCTGAGGCTACGAAGTGAGGCGTCGTGTTGGTCACCTTCGTCACTAAGTGTAGGTCCTCAGAGTTCCTTACCTGCAGGAGACGAAGGTAAACACGCCAGGTTACACTAGCACTCACAGGAACAGTTCATTAAACATAATGGAAGCCCCTCGAAATCGAGGATGCCCGGCCCAAGGGCCTCCTAGGCGTGAATTTGTTAAGGTGTAAAAGCTGTCGCCAACACAACAACCACACCGTAAGATAACGAGCTGCATGACCCAGTGTCACGGAATAGTTCGAGAAGACCGGACAGCGCGCCAACTGCACTGGCTAACCATTACCCTGGAATACGATCTGCAAATCGATTAACATCCAGGTTCCCAATTACTGCTGGGTAGACAGAGGCAAATGGCTTAAAGAAACTTGCCCATAGTTTCACCCTGCCCGAGGATCGAACTCGGGTCCACCACACCACAGGTCGCTATAAAATATATATATAGTTCATTAATGGATGGTGTTAACATCTGTGTATCGAGGACCATCTTGTGTACCACGAACACTGTTGAGACTGAACTACATACAAGTGATTTTAAATTCGAATAAAATATTACTAATTTCATCTCAGTTCAGAAGATAATTACATAAAATGATTGTGTCCAGAGGTTCTTTAACGTTTTGTATTATTATTATTATTATTATTATTATTATTATTATTATTATTATTATTACTATTATTATTATTATTATTATTATTAACACGAAAGAGTAATTACAGTATGTTAACACGGGATCATTTCTAGAAAATCTTATAAACTTTTGTGGATTTTTCGTTCACTATTTTATACAGATGTTCATCATACTTACTCTGTTATATCTCTCTAATGTTTGATAAATTATATAAAAGACCTGTAAATATTGGAGGGAGGTTGGCGCAATTTTTTTTTTTCATCTCATAGTTCTTGATGTGACCGAGTGGCGGCGCTGTGACTACGTGGATAAATAGTGAGTGCGGCAGGTGGCGACACTCTCATCTCTTGTTAGTTAAGTCAAGTTACGTGAACAAATAGAAAGTTAATCGAGAAAATTGGTTGAGTATGATTGGTTTAAAGTTCTGTGGTATTTACTTCATGATCCTAATGTGTGAAAATTATCAAACTAATCTTATTTTTTTGTCAATGGATGTGATATTTTTCTTTTATTAACAATGCTTAATTTTGTTTTCTAAAAGCATTACAATTTGAAATATTGAATCGAAATATTTCTTATATACTTCATAGTCGTAAGAATTGAGAATCTTAAATTATATAACGCAGATATAATTTTTATTTAGATCATATATGATATTTTACGCCAATTTCTACACATATTTTCTAGAAGAGAGAGAGAGAGAGAGAGAGAGAGAGAGAGTGTGTTCGCGGAATGGCTTACAAACACCCTCGCTCTCCTGTTTCTGGATCAATACCTCGCGCGAATACAATGATTCTTAAGTAGGCTAATAAATCCTCTTGAAACTCTAACATGAACATTGCCCTCAGCCCCCTCCCCCCTCCTCCCCATAACTCCCCTATTTCCCAGCCTTCCCCACCTCCAACCCCATCTCCCCCACCCCTACCCTTATCTCCCAACCCTCCTCACCCCTCTCCCAACGCCCCCCACCCCCCAATAAGTTCATAAGTTCAATATGATCTGGTCAGAACTAGTAACTGGAAGGTGTTATTTATTCAGGCAACTTATGTAAACAGCATCAAAGATATACAAATGTTACAGCCACAATTTTAGATTCTTGGGAGTTTTCGGAGATATATCACATACTCCAAGGGTTAAATCATAGTAGTCAAAGGGTTACATCATTGTACTCCAAGGGTTAAATCATAGCAGTCAAAGGGTTAAATCATAGTAATCAAAGGGTTAAATCATTGTACTCCAAGGGTTAAATCATAGTAGTCAAAGGGTTACATCATTGTACTCCAAGGGTTAAATCATAGCAGTCAAAGGGTTAAATCATAGTAATCAAAGGGTTAAATCATTGTACTCCAAGGGTTAAATCATAGTAGTCAAAGGGTTACATCATAGTAATCAAAGGGTTAAATCATCGTAATCAAAGGGTTAAATCATAGTAATCAAAGGGTTAAATCATCGTAATCAAAGGGTTAAATCATAGTAATCAAAGGGTTAAATCATCATAATCAAAGGGTTAAATCATAGTAATCAAAGGGTTAAATCATCGTAATCAAAGGGTTAACAGACGGTGATATATTCTTAAAGTGACTTACCTCCATGCTGAAGGTTCTAGGTAGGACGGTGGGCACGCCCTTACAGGACACGAACACGGAGTGGGTCGTCTGGTTTCGTATGACGCAGCCTTCCAGCAGGTCAGGGGGCTCTAGGGAGGAAGACACAGGTCACGAGGTCAATAACTATCATTTTATATCACATATCGTCGCTATAAAGCCTACAGGCAGTCTTGGCTAATTTATGGTCACATAGCATAAAACTAACATTACCAAAGTCACACGTTTAGGTAACAAAACAGTAAGGTCAAAAGTTGGTCAGGTAAGAGGTGACACAACAGGTGGTGAAGAAGGTGACACAACAGGTGGTGAAGAAGGTGATACAGCAGGTGGTGAAGAAGGTGACACAACAGGTGGTGAAGAAAGTGATACAGCAGGTGGTGAAGAAGGTGACACAACAGGTGGTGAAGAAGGTGATACAGCAGGTGGTGAAGAAGGTGACACAACAGGTGGTGAAGAAGGTGATACAGCAGGTGGTGAAGAAGGTGATACAGCAGGTGGTGAACAAGGTGACACAACAGGTGGTGAACAAGGTGACACAACAGGTGGTGAAGAAGGTGACACAACAGGTGGTGAAGAAGGTGATACAGCAGGTGGTGAAGAAGGTGATACAGCAGGTGGTGAAGAAGGTGACACAACAGGTGGTGAACAAGGTGACACAACAGGTGGTGAAGGAAGATTGGTACAGCAGTGGTGAAGGTGTCTAACCAGTGTGAAGGTGATACAGCAGGTGGTGAGAAGAGGTGACACAACAGGTGGTGGAGAGAGGTGATACAATGAGTGGTGAGGAAGGTGACACAACAGGTGGTGAACAAGGTGACACAGCTTAATTGGTGAAGGTGACACAACAGATTGGTGAACAAGGTGATACAGCAGGTGGTGAAGGAACATGATACAACAGGTGGTGAGAGGTGACACAACAGGTGGTGAACAAGGTGACACAACAATTGGTGAGGAAGGTGACACAACAGGTGGTGAATGAATTGATACAGCAGGTGGTGAAGAAGGTGATACAACAGGTGGTGAGGGAAGGTGACACAACAAATTGGTGAACAAAGACGACACAACAGGTGGTGAGGAAGGTGACACAACAGGTGAGGTGAACAGGTGATACAGCAGGTGGTGAAGAGGTGACACAACAGGTGGGTAGAAGGAGAGGTGATACAACAGGTGGTGAGGAGGTGTTGACACAACAGGTGTGGTGAACAAGGTGACACAACAGGTGCTGGTGAGGAAGGTGACACAACAGGTGGTGAACAAGGTGATACAGCGGGTGGTGAAGAAGATTGTTACAACAGGTGGTGAGGAAGGTGACACAACAGGTGGTGAACAAGGTGACACAACAGGTGGTGAAGGTGACACAACAGGTGGTGAAGAAGGTGATACAACAGGTGGTGAACAAGGTGACACAACAGGTGGTGAACAAGGTGACACAACAGGTGGTGAACAAGGTGATACAACAGGTGGTGAAGAAGGTGACACAACAGGTGGTGAACAAGGTGATACAACAGGTGGTGAAGAAGGTGACACAACAGGTGGTGAACAAGGTGATACAACAGGTGGTGAGGAAGGTGATACAACAGGTGGTGAATAACAAAGATAAAAAGCAAAAATATCAGTTGATGGTCAGTCCACAGCAAGAATTGAACGACCAAGAGTATGTAATGAAAAACACACAAGTTAGAAACAACATTCATCACAGGTAAGGCGTGAAGCAGGTATAGGGAGTGAGGGAAGGAGTGGGGAAAGGGAGGAAAGGAGGGAGAAAGGTAGGGAAGGACGGAGAAGGGGAGGGAAGGACGAAAGGAGGGAAGGAACTACTGTAGGATACGGGATCACTGTGTACTCACTAGCGGCAGTGACGTTGATAACACAGGGTACATGTTGTGTGCCGATGGCGTTAGTGGCGGTACACAGCAGGAGGCCAAAGTCGCCGGGGGAGCCTGGGGTGTAGGGCAGGACGCTGGTAGTGCCCCAGGACGCCGCTCGCCCCTGCCCCAGCTCTAATAACGATCCCGTCGAGTTGAACTTCCAAGTGAAGGTGACGTTGTCTGGCACCGCGTCTACCCGGCAGGTAATGTTGGCTGTGTCGTGGTGCGCCACCTGGTACTCCAGTTGCTGCCCTGATGAACACACGGGCGTATCTGTGTGTGTGCGTAGAGGAGAGAGTGTAGTGTTGTGTATAAAGCAACACTAGTGAGGCAGTGTTGTGTATGATATAACACACTGGCGGTGCAGTGTTGTGTATGAAACAACACACAGGTGGTGTAGCGGTGGAAGGGTAGGTGCTGTGTATGCACAACACATATTTTACACCTGGCATTTGTTACACGTAACAGGATTAAGCTAAACCTGTTCTCTGGTAAAAAGAAAAAAAAAGATGTGGAATTCGTTGAAATTTTAAGAGAACTGCCTGCACGGTATTGTATGATTACAACTACACTTTTTTCTGTCTAGCTAAAAAGATTATAGTCTCCTCACCTCCAGTAGATTTTTACCCTTGCCTTTTAAGTAAACATTCTGCTCAAAGTAGTTTATTAATATCTCTCTGTGTCAGTTCTAAGCAACACCAAGCTATTACTAATCTCTACACATCCAAGGATTTCATACAAATTCCCCACAACCAAGTCAAGGTCTCTAGGCTCATGTATTGGTTGAGTTGTAGAATGTGTATGATTGTATTTCTTCATATTAAGTACTTACTGTAAAGTCGAAAGTGATATCATAACATTATATTACAGTAATGCCCCAGAAGCAAATGACAACTGTTATTATTAGTCTCCTGGAGCATAATAATTGAAGAAACAAGGCGAAAAGTATTAAGAAAAACCTACTGTATCGTCCATCATTAACAAGGAAGAGAGAGAGAGCTGACTTACACATGATGGTGACAGTGATGGGTGTGGAGACCCCCTCACCGTGCAGGTTGGTGGCCCTGCAGAAGTAGCGCCCCGTACGGTCCTTCCCCACCCTCTGCAACACGAGCGTCTGGTTGGACACTATAACGCCCCCAGACACGTTGTGCTGCATCACGTTACCCTGAGGAAGGAAGAGACACATACTATGGTGTCAAGTCATCCTCGAACATCATAAACATGGAATCTGGTGTTTCTTTTTAAATGGGAAGAAAACTGTTCTTATTTAAAACTGTGTAAATAAGAAAATAAATAATGTCATGACGTCATGCCTTCGAATTACTTTACGACAATGTTTTCTGTAACAATCTAAATATGCGTTAATGATAAATAGATCTTAAAAAGGATACGAAACGAAAAACCGACTGAAGCCTTGTAAGTTACAGCCCCAAAGTTTCTGACAAACTAAAGGTGATGAAACAGAACTAAAGAAAGTCACTCACAGAAGAAGAACAGAGCACAGAGAGGAGGAGGAAGGGGAGGGAGAAGAAAGGCCATGAAATATGATCAAGGACCGGCAGTGCGTTTCCTAGATAATGGCCGCAAATTGTTTGACAAATGTGAGTGCAGAATACCGCAAAGGAATCTCTCAAGCGTGGCTATATGCAAAATAGCCTCCGGGGAATATTTTCGTGGGCTTAAAGTTCCAGTAGGACTAAGATCGGTTCATTTATCTGGTGACTAATGATCGAATAGTGAAAGAGCTGCGAAGTGTGGAGGAGGAGGAGGAGGAGGAGGTGGTGTGGGGAGATGTGGGAGGTGAACCCCCAACAGACTTCTCCACTCCATTACTCGAGGTGTTTTGACAACCATGTGTACTGTATATAAACATACTTAAACATTCAAACACACACAGACACATGTATACAAGTATGCACAAACACACTCATACACGATAATAATTCAATACCGACACAGAAGAAACAAAGAAAATCGTTATTCAGTACAGAAGACAAATTAATAAATAAAGAAATGAAAGAATAAACAAAATCGATGACTTTAAACACACGGTGTATCATTATAACAAGTAATGGATGCCAGGGAGAGTGGCACTACTGTTAACTGTCAGGGAGAGTGGCACTACTGTTGACTGTCAGGGAGAGTGGCACTACTGTTAACTGTCAGGGAGAGTGGCACTACTGTTGACTGTCAGGGAGAGTGGCACTACTGTTGACTGTCAGGGAGAGTGGCACTACTGTTGACTGTCAGGGACTAGAGCCACTACTACTAACTATCAGCGACTTGAGTGACACTTGTGTGTTATCTCTGTGTAATAAAACTTTTCCTCGCAGAGAACTGGCTGCAGGATGCCCCAGAAAATCGAGAATCTCTGTCAGGTTTGCCCTCCTCGTCTGCCGCTCTAGTCTCCTCGAGTGAAGTCTCAAGTAAACTTCATAAAACTCAACAAAATGAACCAGAAAATGAAATGAAATTCTAGTTTTGTTTTCATACTATTCCTTTTGTTGATAATTCGTCGTGAACGTTAAGTGATAGTTATGTTATTATTGATGTGAACAAAAGACTTAAGGTAAACGAGGATGAGAAGGAAAGAATTGATCTATCAAAGGGATAAAGAAAATATTATTGGTGTCTTATAAACGTGATCTTGTAGGGAGAAACTAACAGTGTGTGTGTGTGTGTGTGTGTGTGTGTGTGTGTGTGTGTGTGTGTGTGTGTGTGTGTGTGTGTGTGTGTGTGTGTGTGTGTGTGTGTGTGTGTGTGTGTGTGTGTGTGTGTGTGTGTGTGTGTGTGTGTGTGTGTGTGTGTGTGTGTGTGTGTGTGTGTGTGTGTTATATAAAAAATGAGTCCGGTTCATATACTGTTATAGAATTTGAGAACAGTAAAAAAAAATAAAAAAGTTTGAAATGTTTTGTTGCATGTGATGAAAGGACGATTATTTGATGTTTGTGAATAAAATGTTTATTTTTATTTTTTAAATTCCGACAAAACCATAAAAAATATAGTTATTGATGAGGAAGATTCATATTGTAATTCTTTGTTGTGTGTGTAACTATATATAGTGATCATTTATTTAATACATGTAATAAAATAATGTAATTCTTATGTATGTTGTTGTAATGTGTGTAATTTAACAGGGATGAACTGTAAAGTTAACAGGGTACTGTTATTACAGTCACCCAGTACTGTTAACTTGTGTTTGATTATTGTGATTAAGTGATATTAATAATTACTTTTAACACATACACGCACTCACACTCACACGCACACACACACACACACACACACACACACACACACACACTCAAAACACTTGATCACCAACTTCTCATTTTCTGCTCCTCACTCTTTTAATTCTTTATTTATTTACAATTTTCTGTCTCTTTATTTGCAAACTAACATCAGCAATTTTAATCCTATTTTCTTATAAAATATTCACAGCTGATTGGTCAAGGCTTAAAATTAGATCCTACATAGTACAGAGGTCAAGGTTCACAGCTTGTTTAACATGTGGAGGGTGAACTGTACGAGATCGAAACATGACTCAAGTGACCTCAACCAACAGAAGCAGATTATTTCCCCCCATTTATAATTATTTCTCGTTACGCAAAGCTTCTGGAGATTATTTCGCCAATTATCTTATTACATAAAATTGTATACTTATTTCCATTAAGTCTGGTTGATTGATGTTGTGGTTGATTGATGTTGATTGGAGTTATGTGCAGGTAAGTTATTATACGTGTAGTTAATGACGTGAGGCCAAAATACAGGTGTTTGGTTTAATTGAATTTAGTGTGGGAGAGGATGTGTGCTGGGTAGAGTGATATAAAAGTGTAAGAGTGTAGAGTAGGAACATGTGAAAGTGTGAGTGTGAAAGTAAGAAAGCGTGAGTGTGTGAAAGTAAGAAAGTGTGAAAGTATGAAAATAAGAAAACGTGAAAGTGTGAAATTAAGAAAATGTGAAAGTGTGAGAATGTGAAAATAAGAAAGTGTGAAAGTGTGAAAGTGTGAAAGTATCTCGTCTTATAGAGTTTTCATTGTTATTATCGTCCATATATGAAAATTATGGGATTGAACACAGTTTAATATTTGATCCAACAATGGTATAATGATCCCTTCCCGTCTGGTAATCACTGTAGATACAATTTCATGGTAGTTGTTGCTTGAATTTATCACAGGTAGATATTTCGATTAACAATTTTACCTTTTTATACATCAATATCTTCTTGTTTGTTTTTCTTTTAAAGTTATCGATGATCATTAATAACACCACTATCCTATTTTTATATCCCCTCAAAATAACTTCATCTTATGTAAAAGTTATCATTTAGTTGCTTATACCATTTGTCTTTTTCTCGTCATTAAATGTTACTGTAGATATCTGAAAAATATAGATCCATTTAGAAATATCTGATATATACGCGAGTTGTCCAATTGATGACTATTTACTGAACGTGATATAGGCAAATAAGTCAAGGCTTTCTATCTACAAAATAAAAATACCTTGATTGTGTATATTTCTACATTATTATATTACCATGAAACCAAATCGACACTTCCATACATAATATTTAGTTTGTAAATATATATATATAACTCAATAACGAGAGAAAAAAGTTAATGATTTCAATTCAGATTTAGTTGATGAGATGATATGTGTGTATAACCTCATTAACGATGCCTTGTGCCATATCAGAGATCTAATTGGGTAATTTACAATACACAAAGGGACTTGAATGCCTCAAATTGGTTCAGCTTATTTGGTTAATTAGGTGGTAATTGGTAGTCTACAACAAACTCGTAGGGAATAAAAGTCGACTGTTTGTAATGCTTAATGAATAATCCTGGTGAATGTTTATATGTCTGATTGGGTTCCATGATGGGTGGTGGATAACCTTCTGCTGTCACCAAGTAGACCCTCCCTCCCTCCCTCCCTCCCAGCCCCGTCACCAGTCCCTCTCATCACCAAATCATCAGAAAATCTCATTATAGTTGCCACCCTCACCAATATAGTTGTCACTCTTTATTTAACTAAGTCACCAGCCGTCCTAATTAAGTTATATACCTGTTGCTCTCACCAAGTGCACTTCACCAACCTCCTTCACCAGGTCACCATAGGTCACCAGCCACTTACTCGAACGCAATACTGAATGATTTAGTTTGTCTTTCTGTTTGTATATTTGTGCATATTGAAGTTATTATAGAGCAAAGGTCAAGTTCACTGGCCATAGATAAAGATTACCCCACGATAGGAAACAATCATAACTATTAAACATTTACTAAGAAAATTACACAGGTTGAAAGTTATTAAATGGTACTGAAAGTTTATATGTACGTATTAGCAAATGATATTATCTTTAAATAATTATGAAAGATTATATTGTTATGTGGTCAGGGAGGAGATTACAAGAGTTCATATGTGTTTGTGTGTGTGTGTGTGTGTGTGTGTGTGTGTGTGTGTGTGTGTGTATTCCTCTCTCGGGTGAAGTATTGCGACAGGGCTGAGGTGCAGCAGAGAATCTCGCTAATAACTCGAATTGCTGGAAGAAATCTGAGTAATTTGCAGGTATATTGCCTCTCAGGTGAATGTCTGATAGAAAATTCATATATTTCTTCAGCCTCAAGTTGGTTGTCAATTGACCTCGTCTTCTGCACCACCAACAACCTGACTAATGCTTCGAAATGCTCCTCATATTTACACCAACAATAGTAATTTCTTCGTGTAAGTTTTGTGTTTTTGTATGTGACCAAAACTCACTTAAAATTTCCAAGGGTATATGTCTTTTAACCTATGAAGTATAATGTTAATTTTAGGGAGTGAATTAATTAACATTATCACCTAAATACTTAAAAAATAAATTAAAATTGATAATTAATTGTCTTAAATATAATACCTGGTGTAAATAAAAACAAAATATTAAAGTTGCAATACATAGATCACCAAATAACTTTAATGCTCACTTAAGAAACAAAAAACTCAGTAATATATATATATACAAAACCTGGAGCTGACACTACACTCTAATTACTACGAGACATAAATCTGTATTGAAGTTCTTCTAAAATGGAAAAAAAAATGTTTTGTTCCTTTTAAGAAGCAAAATTAGTTTGGGTTAAATGTCAGTCCGGCATTATACGTATGTTCCTCAGCACCCACACTCACCCCATTGTCCACTGAGAAATAAATCTTCTTATACCACTTCTCTATAAATCTTTCTCTAACTACCAGTGTGTGTCTGTTCGTTAATATCTTTCCCTCTTCAAAAGTCTCTCTCATCAAGATCGTAATATAAAGTGATCTGTAACTTTACTAATCAGTCTTTCTCAGTAAGGTATATTCTTGAATACTTTTAATCATCTAATAGTTAATAAATATTCACCTTACCTCATATCATATACAGGTATTGAGAGAATTACAAAAGGTATTTCAATTACTTAAAAAAAATACTGTACCGATATAATTCTGAAATAATGAATAACTTGACATAATAGTTTAATGATAGAAAAAGACTATTTAGTTTTGGTCTGTCTTTAAACCTGTAATATGAGTCACTTCACACAAGACAACAATAAATTAAGGCAAACTGTCCAGGTATAGTAATTAAAGTGTTTCAAATTTACCTTTTATAATTGGCTTAATCACCTTGTTACTTATACACCTTAGGTATTTATTTCTTTATCTATATATTGAAATTCATTAACTATTTATATGACTTGTATATATAAAATAATAATTAGTATTTGTTTCTGATTTATTTATGGAGTTGAGAATTTATTTGGTTTTTGTTATGTTTTTGTTTTCATAACGAGTGTCATTACTACCTCCCTGGGTCCTGTTGTCAGTGTGTGTGTGTGATACTCTGAGGGTAGTTCACTTAACACTCCTACGCTGGGTATAACTGATATATAAATCATTACGTAATGTTCTCCCTAAGCAAGATTTAACGTTCTTGATCTTGTGGCTGACGATGGCACTAATTGGCACTAATTGGCACTAAATGGCACTAAATGGCACTAAGACTCAACTGTTATCTATATCATTCCAGTGACGCCTTGAGAGTGACATTCATTAAAAACCACAACACAGAGAAGCCGTAGAGCAATTACTAGGTGTACGTATATGCTATTAATCTACCTTCTGTTTTAGTTGGTGAAGTGAAATGAACCTTTAACATTTACCTAAGCCACTCTTGTTATCCATTAAATCTGGTTGTAAAAAGAAAACGTGCATTGTATGGCCATTTATCTTGCACATGCTACTACTATTACTACTACTACTACTACTACTACTACTACTACTACTACTAATAATAATAATAATAATAATAATAATAATAACATCCTGGCCAACGAAGCAGTGTACAGTGGTGGCTCAAGACGTGATCCTTTGAGCCGTCAAGATCTTATAAGGATCTCAGGGTTTCCCCAAGTTAGAAGACATGAAGACAGTTCCTGAATACCAATTGCTACATTTTCACATTACCACAAAAAAGTTATAATTATGTTTCAGAGACGCCTCCTATAACCTCCTACTAATACACCATTACAACACAATGATAAAGGTGTTATTAGCTTATTACAGGTAAGTTTTTCACCTTTATGTTGTCTATATTTGAGAGTACTTGGATCGTTGCTCGTAAATGTCTGCTTAGAAGGTATTATCATTCTCTAAGGGATTGTAATATCACAGTCTAAGTGTTTTTACGACGTTCATTATAGTCGTTCATTTTTATTATTATTGCTGATGTTATTACTTATGTTTATAGGAAAAAAAATAAATTGCTTTTTGATATCGATTTACAAATATTGATATGAAATGAAAGTAAATTAATAATAATAACAATGCAGAGATTTATTATTATTATTATTATTATTACCAATACTACTACTACTACTACTACTACTACTACTATTACTACTACAACTTACCTCATGTAGCCAGACTATTTTGTAAAATTTTGGGTTGGACTCCACACGACACTCGAAGAACACATCAGATCCTTCTCTCACAGACTTTGGGCTCAGTCCCATTCCCATCATCAAGTCGACCTGTGGCACATCTGTTGGGGGGGAAAAAACATGTGTCTCACTCTTCACCATCATCCAGTTATTGAGTGATATGTCTCATCATCATCATCTTTATCATCATCATTATCATCATCCATCATTCCTTATCAGTATCACCATCACTATTACCTATGCCTTCACTATCACCACCTTCATCACCATCTTCTTCAATATCACTTTCACCATCACATTCACCATCACTATCACCTTCACCATCACTATCACCATTACCATCATTATCACCATCACTATCACTATCGCCATCACCATCACTATCACCATCACTATCACCATCATTATCACCATCACTATCACCATAAATATTTCGGCTCAAACTGCAAGTATCTAGAGATTAGCTTTTGAGATAATGAATATTTTTTTTTTATAATTTAAGTAATATTAACTTTGACTTTTGAAATTTAAAAAAAAAATGTACTTAGGGTAAAAATTTGATACAGATTAATTGATTATTTTCCTGGAAAGTTTAAAAGGTAATTTGAAGTGTTAATAAAATAAAGACATTCAGACAGACAAGGGTTCGGAACGTATCCAGCACAAGACTGATGAAGAATGTTACAGAAGGACCAGGTGCTTAGAGTCCAAGTGTATCTGAAAATTTAAAGACAATAACTGAAATACGATCAATCTTAGAGTGCCTTACCTTCTCACCAATAGGTTTCAATAGCTTTAAACAGTCGAGTCGTCTCTATTACGCTTGACACATCACATCAAACTACGTAACCTGTCAACCATATTCCCTTTACAAGCTCGTCTACCTCGCCTTGCTCATTCATATTCAATTCCCCGAACATTCTCTCAGACATTGAGGATTAGCTGGTCAAACAGTATAGGTCCTCTCCACCGACTAGCCAAGCGGTGTGGTTTTCATTTAGTATTCACCGGGATTCCTACCTTCCACTTACCTGGCCAATACTTTAAATTAATCTCCTTTACCTCCTACCCACTTCCTCTCCTTCACCTGCCATCCACATCCAGCAACTTAACCTCTTCCCTCCCTCTCATCCATCCCATCCACATCCAACACATACCCTCTTCCCAGTTAGCTACAAAATATATACCTCTAATCTTATCTTAACTTCAGTCATATTTACCCACAACAGCTGATTATTAATACCGAGGAAATAAATATATAACACTACGAAGTTATTATACTCATATGTGAAATAATTAAGAGTATTATACGTTTTACCTGTCACTGGGTTAACGTAGCTAGTGGACTCTCGTGTTTTAAACCACCCTGATTGTCACAGCTCCTATGGTTCATCTCCAGGTGTTATTCTCTTCACATCATCAACTATTTCATCAATGTTTTCCTCTGGTCTTAGTAAGGTAACTTGATCTTGTCTCGTTAGTGGAAATTAATCTGGTTTTATATTCATGTCATTTATGTTATTATGCCACCACTTGGTATTGATGTGAGAGTCGTTATCGGGGTGTTGGTATCGGTATCGGAGTTGGTATCGGTATAATTCTTCCCTGGTTATGATTTTCTGTACAGGTTAGAAGCTATAGATAATACGAATGTTTACTAGTGATGCTCATTTGTTCTTAGCCTAAAGATGTGCTGCATTGGTTCATCCTTAATTAATGTTCTTCTTTCATATTAATTCCCTGAGTGAGTGAGTTTATTTAGCAATATTAACATTCGTAATTAAATAGAAAGCTAAAACAGCACTTACCTAAATATCTTTCATTTCGAGATAAATAAATTAGTTTTTACTCTTCAAAGCTTAAAGATAATGTGGTTTAATTTTTTTTTATGTTTTTATTATATTTACTTAAACTATTATTCCTAATATACTCCGTTTTGTCCCGTTTCCCGTCCCACACAGTTCCGTATCGCCCCATTTCCCAACCCACACAGCTCCGTATCGCCCCATTTCCCAACCCACACAGCTCCGTATCGCCTCGTATCCCACCCCACACAGCTCCGTATCGCCTCGTATCCCACCCCACACAGCTCCGTATCGCCTCGTTTCCCGCCCCACACAGCTCCCTGCCAAGAACTAAACGGACCCTCGCCTGGATCCCACGAGAAAATAAAATGACTCAGAAAAAAACCCTCACCCGACTTGATACAAAGACGAACTTAAGACAATTTGAGAAATACTCACTAAAGAGGTAAGACTCCAGATGGAAGCCTGTGATGTCATTTAGAAGTCTTTTTATCCATCAGAGGAACATAGACTCATGATGATAAATGATAACAAATGACTATCGACTAATGATATATTGATCTTAGTAAAGGAATTCTGAATAAAAAGATGATGGATATTTGTAATTTTTTTTACGAGTGAAATTGGTTGAGTTTCTGTTAATTATTATTGAGCTGAGAAGTTCATAATCACCTTGAAGATAAATTATAATGATTGATGATGATGATTATGATGGTAGGGATGGTAATAAAGATGATGGGGTGGAGATGATGATAATGAAGATGATAATAATAATAATAATGATAATAAATATGGTAGATGGAAGAGATGAACACCCAAGAAGGATATCAAAGAGAAAGTAGAAATAAGAAAGATGGATATTCAAGAAGAAGAAGAATACGAGCGAGTGGTCTTTAAGGGAGGGTGTGTGTGTTGGTGAAGAGTGACGTTGGCTTGTGGGTAGATATGAAGCTAAACCACATTTGGAATCTTGTTGTGGGTGGAAAAAATGACATAACAGTGTATATCCTTTTACAGCAGTGGGAGTAAATGTATGATAAATATTGACGTGTGTGTGTGATACAGAGATGAGATTCACCTGAGACTCACTTACCACGCAAGATCATAAACAAACTACAACTTTTGGCTTCTCTTACAAATGACATCCTCTTGTCTATAAATTTCCCGTATGTAAATTTTTGTTTTGTAAGTTTGTAATCAATTCATGGCCAATTATTTATATTTTTATGGTGATATTTACCTGAGAGTTAGTTAATTAACCTGTAAATAAAGGAAAACAGCCAAAATATCTTTATGAATCATGAAGACAAATTCCATAACAGAGAAGTAATTTATTATCAATCTTTACTTTAATTATTCATTATATTTGAACTCAGTTATTGTTCCTATTTAATCGTCAATTATTGTAAATTATTCGTATTTAATCGTCAATCATTGTAAATTATTCTTATTTAATTTTCAATCATTGTAAATATTTCTTATTTAATCGTCAATCATTGTAAATTATTCTTATTTAATTGTCAATCATTGTAAATTACTCTTATTTAATCGTCAATCAATGTGAATTACTCAAGAATTCCTATTTTAAAACCATTATGACGATAAGGGTAAATATGATAAAGTCAAAACCGTATGATTATTTTACAACACAGAGGAACCACACGACGTTTTCAGTTCACCTTTTAGTTACATTTCCTCAGTAAATTCCAATTCGTAATGTCAATATTTGATCGTTTGTGTCGTGTCGTTTCTATAAGTAAAAGCAGACATTGTAATACGTTATAACATTAAGCAGATATTGTGTTTGTTTTTATTCAAGTAAGAGATAGAATTGTAGAAGGTAGTGGAAGGAATTTTTTTAGGGGGGGGGGGGAGGGGTAAATATTGATATGTATATAGAATTAAAATAGGAAGATATATGATTCAGATCTGAGGTATACTTATTGGTAACTACTACATTTCAAATACACCCATCATCAACCGCTCAACCCCAGCTACACCCACCACCACACTCCACCTACACCCACCACCATTCAATCTTCATCATCAGTTTCATTGGACAGTGGCATAACAACATGAGGCTCAAGGTGTTCTAATAACTCTACACCTGCACCGAGACAACGCGAAAACGGCTCTAACTTCACTAACAAACAATGGGTGATGCAGCTTGTAAATGGCCTGTGGGAGAATTTAACCTATCTAATATAATACAATGACGTATCTATCTCTGTCTTTTCCAATCATAGTTACCAAAAAACGGAAGCAGTTAAGAGACATAAAAATTTCCACACACACACACACATTACATTGGTCCCAAAAGATTGTGTACATTGGTATTACTATTCCCCAAAATGTTTCTCCCAATGAAAAATCTCCACGACGAATGCAAGAGGTGATGTTACACGTGTCAGGAAGAACAAACTGGACAAACTGTGATGATCAAAGTTATACGGTATATATTTAATCGGAGCAAAGCGTTTATAACATACGGGAATTTAGAGAGAATGGAGCGAACATCATGAGAGAGAGAGAGAGAGAGAGAGAGAGAGAGAGAGAGAGAGAGAGAGAGAGAGAGAGAGAGAGAGAGAGAAAGAGAGAGAGAGACCCTGTTATAACGGGGAGGTCTCTGAACTGATCTAATACGCCCACAAAATTTTAAACAGATGATCGATTCATATCTCTCACAGTCGTTCCCCAGAAGAAAATAAAAAGATGATAAACGGAGGAGATCTCTCAGGTAAATGACGGTAATGAAGTTCACTCAGGTGTGGACGCAGATGGTCTACCTGTTGATTAATACTTCATGGGTATTGTATAAGTGAACTAAATATTAATATTATATCTAAAACTAAATAATTGACCTTTGAACTTTGACCTGTAGTCGTAGGCACTAAAATATTCATTTGCTCCAGATATTGGTTCAATAAACATGACGGCACCAATCACTCGCCAATATCACTCGACATTTTTTGATAGACGAGAGTTTAAAAAAAGTTAAAAAAGATTAAAAAGAAAAAAATGGAAAGATGTTTTGGCTGTTATAAATATATACAATCAAAAATACGTCTAGAATATGATAGCATTTTTTTTATGACGGCACCGAGTGTATACCAATACTGTATATATATATATATATATATATATATATATATATATATATATATATATATATATATATATATATATATATATATATATATATATGTGTGTGTGTGTGTGTGTTTGTGTGTGTGTGTGTTTGTGTGTGTGTGTGTGTGTGTGTGTGTGTGTGTGTGTGTGTGTGTGTGTGTGTGGTGTGTGTGTGTGTGTGTGTGTGTGTGTGTGTGTGTGTGTGGTGTGTGTGTGTGTAACATGGCGAAAATAAAACAGAACTCCAACACGACTGGCCATCAAAGTTACAGACACAAAGCGTTGCAAAATTCATATTGATGAACTGATTTATTTCCAATTGTAACAGATATGAAAAAGAATTGCTGCAGGAAGCCTATCTCTTTACTCTTGGCTTACAGGTACACGAATATTTCAACCTCACGGTGATGTAACACGTGTACAGGTGATCAGGGGTGTGTGTTCCCTCACCTGTACGTTCACCATTAGTTATAGGAATGTTGTTACGTTTGTGTCCTGCCAGTGATCCATCAGTCTCCCCTGCCAGTGATCCATCAGTCTCCCCTGCCAGTGATGCATCCGTCTCCCCTGCCAGTGATCCACCAGTCTCCCCTGCCAGTGATGCATCCGTCTCCCCGCCAGTGATGCATCCCCGCCAGTGATCCATCCGTCTCCTGCCAGTGATGCATACGTCACCTGCCAGTGATGCATACGTCACCCCTGCTAGTGATGCATCCGTCTCCCCCTGCCCTGTGATGCATCCGTCTCCTGATGATCCATCCATCTCCTGCCAGTGATGCATCCGTCTCCCCTGCCAGTGATGCATCCGTCTCCCCTGCCAGTGATCCATCCGTCTCCCTGCCAGTGATCATCCGTCTCCCCTGCCAGTGATCACCAGCCTCCCCTGCCAGTGATCATCCGTCTCCCTCTGATGATCCATCCGTCTCCCGCCAGTGATCCACCAGCCTCCCTGCCAGTGATACGATCGTCTCCCCTGCCAGTAAATCCTCAACCTCCTGCCAGTGATCACCAGCCTCCTGCCAGTGATCCACCAGCCTCCTGCCAGTGATCCACCAGCCTCCCTGCCAGTAATATGATCGTCTCCCCGCCAGTAAATCCTCAACCTCCCTGCCAGTAAATCCTCAACCTCCGTGCCAGTAAATCCCACCTCCCGTGCCAGTAAATCCCCAACCTCCGTGCCAGTAAATCCTCAACCTCCCGTGCCAGTAAATCCTCAACCTCCCTGCCAGTAAATCCTCAACCTCCCGTGCCAGTAAATCCTCAACCTCCGTGCCAGTAAATCCTCAACCTCCGTGCCAGTAAATCCTCAACCTCCGTGCCAGTAAATCCCCAACCTCCGTGCCAGTAAATCCCCAACCTCCGTGCCAGTAAATCCTCAACCTCCGTGCCAGTAAATCCTCAACCTCCCGTGCCAGTAAATCCTCAACCTCCTGCCAGTAAATCCTCAACCTCCGTGCCAGTAAATCCTCAACCTTCCGTGCCAGTAAATCCTCAACCTTCCGTGCCAGTAAATCCTCAACCTCCGTGCCAGTAAATCCTCAACCTTCCGTGCCAGTAAATCCTCAACCTTCCGTGCCAGTAAATCCTCAACTCCTTGATAAATCCCCAACCTCCCGTGCCAGTAAATCCCCAACCTCCATCCAGTAAATCCTCAACCTCCGTGCCAGTAAATCCTCAACCTCCCGTGCCAGTAAATCCTCAACCTCCCCACGGTAAATCCTCAACCTCCGTGCCAGTAAATCCTCAACCTTCCGTGCCAGTAAATCCTCAACCTCCCCTGCAGTAAATCCTCAACCTCCGTGCAGTAATCTCAACCTCCGTGCCAGTAAATCCTCAACCTCCGTGCCAGTAAATCCTCAACCTCCCCTGCCAGTAAATCCCCAACCTCCGTGCCAGTAAATCCTCAACCTCCGTGCCAGTAAATCCTCAACCTCCGTGCCAGTAAATCCTCAACCTCCGTGCCAGTAAATCCTCAACCTCCCTGCCAGTAAATCCTCAACCTTCGTGCCAAATGTCCCTGAAATAACTCCATGTTGCCTATCTTCATCACATGGTTGATAAGACTGGCGGCTGACCTCACCATGATGGACACTTGTTGTTAAAAATTAAAAGCCTTGTTTTGAGGAGGATAAACAGCATGATAGCTACTGACCACTAAATCATGATCTAAAGTCGATTAATCCACAGATATGATCACAGGAGTTAATAGAAAACGGATAAAATGAGAAAATTTCATGGTTAAATTTCTGGTGTTGATAAAATGATATGATTTAGGTGTAACAAGAGAGAGTGAAACTTAAGGGATCATTAGAGTAAATATTAATGCCAGGATGTTGAGATTGTAGGAGGGTCAAGTAGTGGCAATGGAAGGAGAGGAGAAGACACTTGTACTCATAGTGGTTATTGAGGTACGAGTCGTTAAGTAGATACAGGTAAGTGAGGTAGTACTCATGTGGATGTGAAGGTAGGACTCATTAGGTAATTACAGGTAGGTAAGGTAGGAAGGTAGGAGTCAAAGCAGATGGTACAGGTAGGAGAGGTAGTACTCAGCAGGTAATTACAGGTAGGAAAGGAACACCCCAGAAGAAAATTACAGGTAGTTACAGGTAGTACTTACAGTGGACGTTGAGCTTGTAGGACTCCTCAAGGACGGAGCTGGGCAGCGCAGGATTCTCGACACGGCAGGTATACACGACTCCGTGATCACTAGGTTGAGGAATCATCCGCAGTGTCGACAGTGTGTTGTTGGCCAGCTGTACCTGCTGTTGGGGCATAGAGAACACTTCAATATACAGGTCATAGGCCAGTAACAGTTATCCAGGTCAGTACAGGTCACGCCAGTTAGCAATTAGGTCAGTACAGGTCACGCCAGGAAGCAATTAGGTCTGTACAGGTCACGCTAGGTAGCAATTAGGTCAGTACAGGTTACGCAAGGTAGCAGTTAGGTCAGTATAGGTCACGCCAGGTAGCAATTAGGTCAGTATAGGTCACGCCAGGTCGCAATTAGGTCAGTACAGGTCACGCCAGGTAGAAGTTAGGTCAGTACAAGTCACATCAGTACAGGTAACAGTAACGTCAGTACAAGTCACATCAGTACAAGTAATAGTTAGGTCAGTAAAAATCACGCCAGTAGCAATCAGATTAGGTAAATATCACTTTTAAGTATTAATAACGCAGATAAAGTGACCATCTCTGACAATCAGATCACTGAAAACCCCCAAAACTGTAATACAGAGACTTAGTAACAATCAGGCTATATCAGTCACTCTGTACCTGTCTAATTAAACACCTGGTAATAATAACAGAACGATGATAAACGGATGTGGATAATTTAAATAGACGAAAAAGAAAGTATGGAAAGATTGAATAATTGAAACCACACAAAGAAGAAAAGGTTAAGAATAGCGTAACCATTCTAGACAGTTTGGGAGAAGAGGAATAAAGAAAAACAAACAAAGAATGGAAAGGAGACGAGAGAGAAGAGGTACGGAATAGGGAGAGATAAAAGAGAATGGTGTAAGAGAGAGACACAAGGATAAAGAGAGGGATAGAGGATCATGAGGGACTGACTAGGGGAGATAATGAGGAAGAAGAAAGGGGAAACAGAGAGAAGGAAAAAGAAGAAGGGGAATGGAAGAGAATTAAGAGAAAAAAAAACCTGGTTGAAGAAATTGATGAAACTGGGATTGTTATTGTTGAGTCAAGAATAATAATAATAATAATAATAATAATAATAATAATAATAATAATAATAATAATAATAATAATAATAATAATAATAATAATAATAATAATAATAATAATAATAATAATAAAAATACGAATAAAATTAAGAATGAGAATAAGAAGGAGAACATTATATAACTATCCAGAGAACATAAAGAAAACAAAGAGATAACGAAAGACATAAACAAGACAAGATAACATCATCATAATTGCTCTTGGGGAACCTGACCAGGCTGCCTTAGGGACAAACTCTTTACCTCAAGACCACCAACTTAATTTCAAAGTCTTTATACCTGATAGAATAAATTTGGTCTATACCTTTGGCCTACACATTTGACCTTTGTATTTGCATTTGATTTATACATTTGACTTGTACATCTGACCTATGTATTTGATCTTTACAGGTATATATATCATTCAATATTCCCAGGATGAACTTTAGTCTTGTGAGCAAAAAAAAAAAAAGATTTCAACCTCGAGAGAAAAGATTTCCTATTTACTAATCACAAAAGTTAAGGACCAGAAAGTTAGTTTATCCATCGCTTGATTCTGAGTGCATAAGAATGTAGATTTTTTCTGCCTTAGTAAATTTTCTCCGAACATATGACTCGGCAAAACAGAAAACATCAATTATTAAAAAAAAAAAAAATCACCATTTCTTCATTTCTTATTTAATTCTTTGGGTTCGTTACCCTTCCATACATCAAGGTGACCCAACAGTAAACAAATAAACAGACTCGGTTATTCATTCAATATCATTAATTTCATCCTTATTTACTACGATCAGTTATAAAACCCCCGCAAAAAAAATTGACGTTAGTTATCGAAAATTGTCTAAAATATGAACAACTAACCTTACATTGTTTTGTTTTTTGAGGTGTTAATGTTTGGAAATGTTAATCTTTGAAGAATAGTTTGAGAGACAACATCAGTGACACAGTTTTCAGCTCCCAGTGTGGAGAGAACTGTAGGTGATGGTTGTTCTCAGTACTGGTGGCGTGTGTTGTGAGTGGTGGTGGTGGTAGGGTGTGTTATAGTGATAGATGGTGAGGGTAGGGTGTGTTGTGAGAGGTAGTGCAGGTATGGTGTGATGTGAAAGGTTGTGGAGCTAGGGTGTGTTGTGGTGATGGGTGGTGGAGCTTGGGTGTGTTGTGGTGATGGGTGGTGGAGCTAGGGTGTGTTGTGGTGATGGGTGGTGGAGCTTGGGTGTGTTGTGGTGATGGGTGGTGGAGCTAGGGTGTGTTGTGGTGATATGTTGTGGAGCTAAGGTGTGTTATGGTGTCTATTGGTAAAGCTAGGGTGTGTTATGGTGATATGTTGTGGAGCTAAGGTGTGTTATGGTGTCAAGTGGTAAAGCTAGGGTGTGTTATGGTGACAGGATGTGAAGCTAGGGTGTAATATAGTGACAGATGGTGAAATTACAGTCTGTTGTGACACATAGTGAAGTTAAGGTGTGCAGCTTCACAGGTAACAATGACCTTTATCAGGAAAAATAAAGCTAAGAAAGTTATACAGAAGAAACCCTTTAATAACGCCGTGTAACTCAGTGATTTAGTGTAATTTACTATTTAGTCCTACCTCATAGATACAATATGTTATACAATTGAAGGTGTAATGTCAGTCAGATTCCTCACTGTTTTTATGTCATCAGTTACGTAACACATAAATACCTGACATTTAGCTCACTCAGGTAGAAATAAATATCCCAGGTATTTTAATCTACTCGTGGTCTCTTCCTCTACAGATTAACGTAGATGATGTATATAAAACCTTGGGAGAGGGAAACAACATCAAATACGAATCAGTGTTTCTGAAAATGGGGAGAACGTGACCAGGAATTGTCAGGGATGTGGGCAGGTCCTTGTTCTCTCCTCCCCCTTATGATACACTGCGGCAGGTTGGCTATCAACGTCCAACTGGGATATGAGGGAGAGGAACAAGCCAGCATTATCACACCAGTCTAGCGTACGAAAACCTAGGAAATGTGTGTGTGTGGGGGGGGGGAGGGGGGATTATGTCACGTCTCTTCAATAATGTTATGTAACGTTTTATTATTATTGTTGTATTCTGTCAATTGCTCTCATTTTATCGTGGATTTCTGGATGATCACAATCTTGTATATGAACACTCATTTAAGAAGAGAACTTGAACTATGAGAAACTATAAAAGTTTTCTAACTTTTGTGTATTTCTTTTATACTTTTAGTTTATCCACAATATAAACCCAAGCATTGTAGTAAAGTAATTCAGTAAAAAAAGTAACCGGGAACATAAGGTGACAATGGTTCAAGTATTTTTTCCTCTTTCCAATACCAAGAAAAAATAAAGTTATCTTGGCTGTGTATCTGTCAGAAGTCGTGCCTGCCTCTCCCCTGGGTCGTGTATACTGGCCGGGTGAGTTTCCATCAAAACGATGATAAATTTCTCCCAAGTGAACACGGCCACTCACCGATTCTACACACACACACACACACACACACACACACACACACACACACACACACACACACACACACACACACACACACACACACACACACACACCATGCACACACACATACACACATCTTACCTACAGGAACATCCAAATTGTCAAACCTATTATGTAGTACCGTCTGTTCTCACCACATACCTCAACTTGACACTTCGCATGACACACTCGTCACCTTAAAACAGGTACTTGACGAACACTCACCTTGACACTGGGCTTGGTAATACGCTGGCCGTCCCTCCACCAGGATATGACGGGGTTAGGTCTACTGCCGGCGGAGGAACACTCGAGTTCCTCCGTCACTCCGGCAGATACATACTCCTGAGGACCTGCCACCTTCACCAGGGAGATGGTAATTGGAGCCACTGTAGGCACCAAGAAGCCTGGTTTAGTGGTTGATGTCTCTGGGTAAACCTTTGTGACTTCTCCAAAAAAGTCAATAAATCTCTATAGGAAAATATTACAAATGCTTCAGACCCTCAAACAAAACTTTCCAGAACTCATGAATGACCTGATAAAACTTTCATCTCTCGTGGCTCCTCAAACAAACTAAAGTACACTAAAAGTTTCGTTATGAATAAAAAGTAATATAACTTTCGCTTAAGTATACACAAGTCGTGCAAAAGAGGCAGTTTATTAACACGGTTTATGATAATAGAGTTACCTGTTTTCTTATTTTTCCTTAAAGTTTATTTACTCTTTTGCACTACTCTAATGAAACAGTTCTTCTTTCTAAATTATTAAAAAAAATATATATATTTTTCATTGTAATTTTGAAAGTTATAACTCGAAATAATTGTAGCATATACCTGACTTGCTTAAAACGGAATGATTATTTTTTTTATACACATGTTTCATTATGCTTAGTTAGGTTAGGTTAGGTTAGGTTAGGTTAGGTTAGACATATAAATATATTCCTAATTTCTCTCCTACACAGTCAAATATGTATATGAATTATTACAAGCGACAAATCACCTGGGGTAACAGTATACATGAACTAATTGGCAGCTTTAAGGGAAAGTTATAAGGTATATACTGTGACTGAATTAACGCAGGCTATGGAACATGTACCCTGTGATGCACCGGGCAGTGTTGAGTAATACAGCGGTCGCCAGTGTTCTAGATGTCAGGAGTCGGGAGAGGGGGGTGAGAGGGGTGGGAAGAGAGGGGGAAGACGGGTGGGGTGGTCTGGGGAGGGGACGAAAGGTGGGAGGGTGGGTTGGGAGGGGGAGAGAAGGGGGTGGGCTAGGAGGTGGGGCTTAGGAGGGGGGATGGGTTATGCTCTCTCCAACCCACCTGACACACGCTAAATTTAGTTGGTTACTTGATCAGTGAATGTTCAATATTTACCCAAAGGTCTCGAGATACTGGTGAGAAATTCCTATGTATTTGTGATTTATGTTTTAAAAGAATCTATAGGAAGTAAATGAAGTTGTTTTATATCATCCATACAGGTTCTATATTTGAAGAAAAGCGCCAATGACAGATGAGTTGGCTAGTGCTGTGGGGACAGAACGTAACCAGTCACAGATGGTGGTAATCTTGGTGTGGTGTGGTGTGGTGTGGTGTGGCGTGGTGTGGCGTGGCGTGGTGTGGTGTGGTGTGGTGTGGTGTGGTGTGGTGTGGTGTGGTGTGGTGTGAGAAGCAATATCTCACAGGTTGTTGTAAGGGCACGACACAACACTTAAAGAACGTGAAGATAGTGTGAAGTAAAAAAAAAAAAAATTAAAACTGAGAAAAACAGTGGCAAGGACAATAGGTGGTTACACTTATAACTAGAAGGAGGAGTATGTGTATCAGCAACCGTGTTTGAGAGCTACGTCACCCAGGTACTATATATAATGAGTTACTACACCTGAAATAATGCTTAATACTAGCTGTGAATTCAGGTAGGAAACAGATACCATTTTATTACAATGAAAATCAACCCAGATTATCAACATTATATTCATGAGTTCTAGAATCGGTAAATCGCTACAAAATATTTCTACAGTTATGAAAAATGTGCAACAATATCGGAAAGACGTATTTTTGTAGCCATCGGACTGGTACAAGAGCAACTCTGGTGAGAGAGAAAAAAAGTGTAGAAAGAGTGAACCAAACTTACGTGTCATGTTGATGGTAACGGAGGTGTCAAGAGGCCTCGTGATGTTGTTGTTTGTGGCCCTGCAGCTGTAGGTGGCGTCGAGGTAGTCCCGAGAGAGGTTTTCCAGATGGAGTAAGTTCCTCACCTGGCCGCGATGATCCACCGTGTACGAATCCTCCACCACTCGCCCTTCCCGTATCCACACCAACGTGGGTGACGGCCGGCCTACAAACACACACACACACACACAAAAGTCTTCAATGATTATTATACTCAGGACAAAACACTACTAATGGCTACAGTATAAAATAAAGTTCATGATTGACGTCAGATGAGGTAGGAGACCCCCCCCCCCCTATTTGAAGGTAAACTCTTGCTTTCCCTATTACCAGCTGTTGTAAGAGGTCCCTATCCTCGTTCACTGTATATACGTTGACAGGCTCCCTTCCCCTACTCTCCCTAATGTACAGGAACAAGATGAGGAGCACTCCACCCTATCCTCTCTGTCACTTCACCCAGCTCTCCCAGTCACCGTAGGGGGGAGAAAGGGAGAGGGAAAGGGAGAGGAAAAGGGGGAGATGTATAGCCCTATTCACACTCTCAGAATCTTTACTCCCCTTCACCCTCTCTACTACAAGACACCACGTTCGTATCTCCTAAAACCAACTCCTGGGATATGATTTTTACTCGTATTTTTATTTTGGTTATCTACTTAGACCTCTACCTTCCTCCGTCCATAACTCACACAACAGCATTTCAGCTTCCATCCACCTGAGTCTTAGCTGTCATCCATCTGAGTCTTAGCTGTCATCCACCTGAGTCCTAACCACCACCACCACCATCCACCTGAGTCTTAACCACCACCACCACCATCCACCTGAGTCTTAACCACCATCATCCACCTGAGTCTTAACCACCATCATCCACCTGAGTCTTAGCCACCATCATCCACCTGAGTCTTAACCACCATCATCCACCTGAGTCTTAGCTCTCCTCTCACAAAGGCCAGAGAACAAAGTGTCAGGTAATTCAGTTAAGGTGTTAAGGTATCCACCCGACCCTGACTTGGCTCTCAGGCTACTTACACCAGAACATTTCCTTATATATTTCTCTATACTATAAGACCACCACTTATATCGCTTACTTATATCACTTATATCACCCCATGTACCCAAACACAACAGATGTTTACTGATATTGACGATTGTAATAACCATAAAATAAATATGAAGAGCAATAACAGTTATAGGAAACATACAAAATATGTTTATTATTAATATTATCTTTAGCATTATTGTCTACGGAATTGTTGCTATTATTATTATTATTATTATTATTATTATTATTATTGTTATTATTATTATTATTATTATTATTATTATTATTATTATTATTATTATTATTATTATTATTATTATTATTATTATTATTATTATTATTATTATTATTATTATTATTATTATTATTATTATTATTATTATTATTATTATTATTATTATTATTATTATTATTATTATTATTATTATTATTATTATTATTATTATTATTATTATTATTATTATTATTGTTATTATTATTATTATTATTATTATGAGTAATAGTAGTAGTAGTAGTAGTAGTAGTAAAGTAGCAATATTAAGACTATTGTTATTGTTATTGTTTATTATTGCCGAGTTTTTTCGTAATATTATCATTTAAGTAATAACAATCATCGTCATCAGTGTTACCAATATTATACCAGCAGTACCACCAACTAGAATATTCCCCCAACGCTCTCTGATAAACGCTTCCTCATTCATTTCAGTAAAAAAAAAATATATATATAATACTACCTGAGAAATTCTAAATGTCTATGTGAGGTATTTCATATTTTCAGACATATGTAGCCATGAGTTTTACTTGTGTGTTGCTGACATTTAAAACTTTCAATGGGATTTTTTCTTTTGGTGGTGGTTATGGTGATGAGTAGTGGTAATGGTGGTGGTGAGTAGTGATGGTGGTGGTGAGTAGTGGTAATGGTGGTGAGTAGTGGTGATGGTGAAATGGTGGTGAGTAGTGGTGGTGGTGGTGAGTAGTGGTGTGGTGGTGAGTAGTGGTGTGGTGGTGGTAGTGGTGAGTAGTGGTAATGGTGGTGAGTAGTGTTGATGGTGAAATGGTGGTGAGTAGTGGTGGTGAGTAGTGGTGGTGGTGGTGGTGGTGAATAGTGGTGGTGATGGTGGTGGTAATAGTAGAGCCGAGTCTCAGATAGTCACATATCTCACCCAGGTAATTACATGAGATACAATCAGCTCCACCACCGCAGGATGTTGGGTGCTGGGTGCTCATTGCTGGGTGTTCCTTGCTGGGTGCTTAATTGCTGGGTGCTTACAGGTAACTCCGTGGTCCTACAGGTAACTCTATGGTCCTACAGGTAACACTACGCTCCTACAAGTAACACTATGTTCCTACAGGTAACACTATGCTCCTACAAGTAACACAATGCTCCAACAGATAACACTATACAGGTAACACACTAATGAAGACTCACCTCCTATGGTTTTACAGGTGAGAACGACTCTACCGCCCTCCAGGTAAGGACCGGCGGCGCCCTCCACGACAGATCCACTCTCGTCCGTGACCACAGCGGGCGACGGAGGCACTGAAGAAGTACACACACATATACATGAACTCATATAGCTTCTGGGACAACTTATACTCTCACTTAAATGGCTAAGGAATACAGGGTGTCCATAAATGATTACCCTGATTAATACATGAGAGCCTAGTGTTTCTAGGGTATTAATGGACACCCTGTATTTCTCTAATAATGAGCGGAAGGAAAAGGTTGATGTGAGAAGTCAAGGTTAAGAAAAAATATAAATGAAGCTTCGATTATTTTAACTTTTCATGGTAATAAAACTGAGAAAGGTATAAATATTTGAGAATTATAAGTAAGTTTGGATACCGTGTGGATTATTAACTAGGGTAAGTTTTTGTAGATTTTTTTTTTTTCTAAGGGAATGTTTTTACGTAGCCTCGAGTATTACAGCTAGAAAAAGATTGTTTACTTGCCAGAATATGATGCTTCTATTTCTCTCATGGCTTCACTAGTAGACAATGAGAAGTCAGACTTATGTTTATCTTTTTATCGTACGTTTTAAGGATAATCGTCCCATTCAAGCAAAAAAAAACAAAAAAAAAACACAATGGTGAAACTTTTGTGCCAAATATAAACATCCCAACTCTCAAATGTTGTTCCGGCAGACGGTGGAAAGATACACAAACAAGCAAACAAACGGACGGAAGCGACTATTTTATCGTTCTTGTGGTTGGTAAAAATGTTTTCTAAAAGTACATGTAAACATTTCTCGTCTAGTGCACACTCGGTCTGGTGTAGACAAACTCGGCCATTATCCGCTGTGGTTTGGCGTCAGTAGCCAGACACTTGTGGGGAGGATTATTCCCTTATGTTAAGTGGTGACGTGGCTGGGGGTAAATCCTCGAGAGAGAGAGAGAGAGAGAGAGAGAGAGAGAGAGAGAGAGAGAGAGAGAGAGAGAGAGAGAGAGAGAGAGAGAGAGAGAGAGAGAGAGACACTATAAGGGAGGTGGTGTGACGTACAATTCACTCTCAGTAAAGGCTGCCACATGACTTATACAGACAACAGTGGGTTCTGGTCCTCTGGTCACATGTGCCGGCCTCTCATACATGGACGTCTCAGCTGGCAGTCAGTCGATCCGAAAATTTTTGTTATGACCAAAATGGGAACGAATTTTTAGTACCTTGAAGATGCGAGAAGAACTGCTGTACGTATGGTAACGAATATTGAAGCTAACGTTAAAATAAGAGAAATAAGGGAAAACTGTCATTTAAAAGTACAATGAAATTAAATATAAATAAATATGTAATTGGAGAAGATAATGTTGGAGGAGGTGAACAAAGACTTACCAATAACAGCCAAGTGGACGGTGGAGGTCTTGGAGGGCCCGTGTTCGTAGTCAACCCTACAGCGATAAGTGTCCTGGTCTCCTGATCTTACTGGCCTCACTCTCAGGCTGGGGGGATTCACCTTCAGGTCAAACTGTGCCCGTTGACCAAACACCGTCTCATCGCTCCAGTGTCTCCCGCCCGTCTGTCGCAGGTCGTAGCTGTTCATGACACATACATACATACATCAGTAAAGATATAAAGTAAACGTCAAGGCAGGAACATTCAATTGAACATTAAGACCCATGGATGAATGACTTTATTGAACACAGTACCAGACACTATCATATTCCGTAAACACCTGTATGTCATAAAAAGATACCACATTACCACTGATAACTCGACTAAGACAGTTCTATAAGACGATATAGGTTTTCTTAAGGGGGACTCTTAATACAACACAACAGTTTATAGAGACAGTAAACACACTATTATAATTAAGTCGTCAACTTCACCTTGAAAGATCAAACTAACACTAAAAATCAATTTATCAACTGAGGTGATTTTTTTTATTTATTTTTTCAACTTGAGAGACAATGTGTACTCTCTAGATCAGACAAGTGACCCATTCTCAAGTTAGTTTTGCTTATTACATTGTGAATAACAGAGATAATTATATGAAATTTAACTTAACAATATACCTATGCCTTACAATTCAAGATATTATAAATTATATGTTTTGATGGAAATATGTTAGAGAATAAAGGAATAACATATGCAAGAAATATAAAGAATGAAGGGGAATAATAATAACTCCAGATAATTGGATCTTGCACAGGGTAGGTGAAGGAGAGGGGGGGTGGAGGGGAGGGTATTGGGGTGGGGGTTGGGGGTTGGGTGGGGATGGGGGGGTTGTTGTAGGGGTCTAATAAAGGATAACGTGTTGGAACTGGGATTAGAAATTACCTCTCCACTACGGGTCATTATCCTTCCAGTAAAGTTAATTAAACCATTAAGCTGAGTTAACCCTTCCAGTTTGCTAATTGAACCCTACAGTAAAGGTAAGGTAATCTTTAAGGTTAATTTCGTTTCTAAAAATGGTTAATTAAAACCCCCAAGATGAGTTAATTTACGGGTAAGTTGAGTTATTTTTTCCAGATAGGTAAATTATTCCTCCCTGTCAAGTGAATCAGTTAGTTACGCATTAACTAGTAGTAGTAGTAGTAGTAGTGGTAGGAGTAGTAGTAGTAGTAGTAGTAGTAGTAGTAATAGTAGTATCTCTATATTAAACAGTGACGTCAGATGTAGTAGTGAAAATATTGTGTGTGTGTGTGTGTGTGTGTGTGTATGTGTGTGTGTGTGTCTAAAGGTAAGAACCGTACTAACAAAACCCTTCCCAATTCCAATCTAATTAACAGAATCAAATTGGATTTATTTTTGTTCTACTTTACCTTCAAAAACTCCACATACAAAAAACAAAAACAAAAATTGGTTCCCATATTTTCGAAACCACAACGATAAGAAAATTACTAAAGATACGTCAGTCCTACCTGTCTCCCTCATCGATTACCTATAATGGCTCTTTAATAACAGGTAGATGCGATTAATATCATCAAATATTAGAGTTATGTTTAGTTATTGATTCCTGCTTCTCTAGGTTCTCGCCCCCCCCCTCTCCCCCCACCCACACGTGACTGAATAATTCCCCCTCCCTTCACCTCCCGTATCAACAAGGGTTATTTAAGGTGGTCAGGGTACACCCCTCCTCCTCCTCCTCCTCCTATCATCTTTCTCTCTCTTCTTTCTCCTCTTCTTTATCTTCTTCCATATCCTCCCTATCCCCTCTTGCTCCTCCTCTTTATGTTTCCTTCCTCTTCTTCCCTCTTCTCTTTATCTTCTCTTCCCTTCCCTTCCTCCTCCTCCTCCTCCTATTTCTCTTCCATTTCTCCTTCTCTTTCTCTCCATCATCATCCTCCTCCTCCTCCTCCTCCTCCTCCCTATTGACACGTGACATAATGAAGACTATCCCTCCTCCCATCCATCCCATCCCTTGATATAACAAACTGCTCATCCAAGACCACTTACCCCTTTATCCCTAACCCCGACATAGAGATTAGTGAGCTGCGCCTTCATTCATCTTGTCTCCCCTCCCTCCATCCCTCCTGGACACACACAGCTTGACCAACAACAACCCCTTTATGGTATAGATTTAATGGTCTCTCTTACCCCTTATTAGCCCCCTTAAGCACACATACACAGCTTACTATTGGCGTCCCTTCCTACACCACCCAGCTTAACCTCAGGGCACATACACCACCCAGCTTAACCTCAGGGCACATAAAGTTTGGTTTAGTGTTGTTATGTGAGTTTGTTTTTTTTTGTTTCGTGTAAATTTCCAAGAAAGGATTGATAAGGTTGATTTGAGAGCTACTGATGGTGACAGTGCGTCCGTCCCCAAGATAGTGAAAAACCTGACTGATTTTCCATCCCTCAACCAGCCAATCAAAACCACACTAGTAGGAGTGTCATAGTGGTGTGGGTTGGCCGCCGCCCCCCCCCCCAAAAATCGAACTTTAACTACCTTACACTTTTACAGGATAAGTTACTTAATTAATTCATATTCAAGCATACGGTATATATACAGTGTGACAATAAGCATAGTGGAGATAATATATAATAGATTCAATGTTTACAGAGGTAATTTAAATGATAGAAATATGTTAATTTTTTCAGGTTTTCGATAGCCTTTAACTCCTCCTCACCCTAGAGCTTTTTGATTAAAGATTCTAAAGTCTCACAGATTTCTCGAGTACCAGGAGTCTAAGTAGAGGAAGTCAGGAGTCTTATCTTCACATACACATTACATATACTTTACGTTACATAATCTGGTAACATAAATACTTCAGCCAAAAAATTATGTTAAAAAAAGTGTGAATAATTAATCTCAATACGTTATAAACATAATGTACTTCACTATTCTTACCTCCCACGACTTAACAAGAGGTAAAGGTGACTTAATTAACAGGAGGTAACGGTGAAAGTAGTTCCCAGGTAGCAGTCAGCTTATTACCCCTTCATTACCTTCTTTTGATTTCACACGATACCTGACCTTCTCCCCTCCCCTCACCTGTACCCCCCCCAAGAAACATCTGCTGAAGACCGTGTGTTGCCAAATTAAGCTGATTGATAATTAATTAATAAGATACGTGTGATACTTACCTGTACATGTTAAGGTGGGAAATGTTTATACAGGTAAAGGGAATCTGTATGTCTGGAGAGTCTTAATTGGATGCTTAATGAGATGCTCGGTCACCTTACCTAAGTGGCGTCACTCAGGTAAATTTCTACACTTTTCGTCAGTTTCATCGGGACTTTTGTGTGTCTCGTCTCCTAAAAATCACACAATAATGATTTTTTTGGGTCGTTATCATCCCACCTTCATCCGTTATCATCCCAGTATCATCTATTATCATCCAAGCTTCATTTGTTATCGTCCTAGCTTCATCCATTACCATCCTATTATCATCAACTCTCATGCCAATATCATCCATTATCATCCAAGTATCATCTATTATCATCTCAGCATCATCCATTAACTCTCACGATTACCCATTAACTCTCTGGTAATTTATTAAGTAACTTGTCTTTATATTCAACCAAGAGCATCCCAATACCACCACTACCTCCATTTTTTCCTTCACAATTCTACTTAAACAATATATATTTTTTAACAGATTTTTCCCTACGAATTTTCCGAGCACCAGACCTCTTTACCTTTAGATTTTGAGAAATTAGCATGAAAATAAATTCTATTACCATTTCATTGGCCTAAATCACTGGACCATTTAGCGAATTCTCTCTCCCAGAAAGTTATGCAAATCATTTACAACTGAGTGTATCTTTGAGGTGGGAATAATCTCAATGTTTTAAAATATATTCCAATTGAGTTAGCCAGGCAGGTATGGTGATCACCGCCGTATCAATAGAGCCTGAACTGAGTTAAGTAACAAAAGTTGAACAGGGAAGGAAAGTTGGTTGAAGCTTTGATGTGAGGCGAACCAGTTTGAGAGAGCTCGGCCGCCCACTACACGCCGGGGCTTTGATGAGCATGATGGTAGGTAGGATGTGTACACGCTAACTAAAGGGACAGCTGGACGGATACGGGCACAGGTAGTGATGAATAGATAGTGACTTACATTGATTAGGCACAGGTAGAGACAGACAAACAGGTGGATTCGAACCGGATACACGGTAAAGAGAGAGAGAGAGAGAGAGGGGGGGGGGGCCCATATTGACCTGGGTTAACCTAAGGCGTTGTACCCTAAGTCAAGTATCCCGCTAAATATATCCATCCAGGGTTATTATCGTAATCGCCTTAATAACAAGTTCGCTACCATCTATGGACAACCTCACGCGAGACTCAAAGCTCATTATTTTCTTCTGTGTTTTAGGTACGAAATTCCTCTAATTCCTTTATATATATTTGTGATATTGTTGATACGAGTACGGAATAAAATGTATCGGTATCATGTAGGTGTTGACAGTACACCCAGCAACTGCGATCAATATACCCTACCTCTATGTTTGCTACACCCGATCCTCTTTGTCTACTACACCCTACACCTGTTCACTGCAGAGGACATCAATAATGAGATACAACAGTGGATCAGCTGTGCATGAGAGAGGCCTTTGGTTGACTGTGTACTCGTGTCTTCAGCTGTGAGGAATTGAAACTATCAACGAGGCTACGGAATTTTCACCAGCGTAATCATCCGAGTCGGTTAGGGAGGCAGAGGAACAATGTCAGTATCCTCACTGACACCAACTGTAAGAGCATCACTGGCCACATTGCCCAGGACGGCATGCATGACAGGAGAATACGAAAGCAGCTGGCTCTGCTTTTGCCACGCGAGAGGATGCAAACCCTGGAGGTTGATCGTGTACACGCCATGGTGGACAACCACTAGTGGAGTTGCAAAGACGCTGCAGCCGCCCCTCCCGCACTAGACGTAGCCCTTCACACATGTAACCTCTGCAGCCGACCCTATCGATCGCATATTGTTCTCTGGGAACACGTTAGAGCTCACCAATAAAGATGAAACCAGTTTACCATCTACATCCTCGACTTTGGGTGACAACAAAGAGAGGTGGTGTGGTGATGGTGGTAGTGGTGTCACTAACGTGTTGGCTGGACCCCTTAACAGAGAGATAGAGACAGCAG